GCATACACACTACTAAGAATGATTATTTGTTAACAGATGCATAGAATGACTCTTATATATGGGTCTCTACTAATGCTATGGGTTATGCAAACAGTCCTCACTTTAAAGGGGCATATAATATGAGATATTTTATAAAGTCATGCTTGGATTATTTAAAGAAAGAACATGATTAAGCCCCAGAGGCCTGAAGATCAAGCTCTTTTTGGTTTAACTAAGAAAGTCTTTTTCTTTCATGGTGCTACAATGTACTCACATATAAAAAGAAAAAAAAAAGATCTAAGCTATGGTTACTAGAGCATAAATAAAATGATGCCTCTGATGTACTTGGGTCTCCACCTGAGAAGGGCTTTATGAAAAGAAAATTATTAAAATAATAAAGATTTGGAATTTATGAATGATAGAAGATAAAAAATTGACATAAAGGAATAAAAAAGATGATGAGATGATGATTCTTTGCCACTTTCTCCTGCCTTGTCGGCAGGGAAGGCTTCTCTCAGAGCCTCAGTTGTGTGTCCCCTGTGTATGGGAAGACCCAATATCTGAATGGATATGAATGTATTCGGATGTACTAGCTTCTTTATGATGCGGTCTCAAGGCCTCTCTACAAGGCCTATTAACATTCTCACAGGCAAACTGTTTAACCACTGAAATGCCAGCCTAGGTTGCTCATCTGCAGCAGGTTTGATGGCAACTGATTTCCAACAGGCTTCTCTGAACTTTGGGTAATTGACTATAGGGATCCAGGCATGGACACGAAATGCTCTTAGAGAATTAAAAGAACACTCTGCCCCACATAAACATACATGTTGGGACATCGCTCCTCTTTCCAGCGTCCTTTTGTAAACCTGGGGTCAGAGGAAATGTTCCCATACCTCTGCCCACAGTGGGACCCAGATACTATTGGGGGAAGGGCTTCCTTGGACACTTTTCACTGTGTTCTCCTGTTAGGCCTATTGGCCCAATTGGCTGAATTAACAAAGATAATAATAACAGCCTTAAGGGACACAGGGCCCATAGAAAAGGATCACCCTAGGAAGGGAAACTTAAGGAAAATTCAAGACAACAGGCCTAGGTTCCAATCGGGGATAGAAAAGACAAGGACAAAGTCAGATATAGAGGAACAAAATGAAAAGCCGTCCTTAAGTTAGGAAAATGACAGGGCTAGGGCTCCTTCCAGCTGAGCCCTCCAGAGCCCAGAATAATACAAGACAATAGGGGACAAACTAGTTAGTTTCCTGGTAGACACTGGTGCAGCAGACTCAGTCTTGACCGAGCCAATGGGGCCCTAACCTACCCCCGGACTTCAAAGAGGACTATAGACCTTGGGAAAAATATTGTAATTCATTCGTTTCTGGTCCTGTTGGAATGCCCATACCCCCTACTCGGACGTGATCTCCTCCAGAGATCATTCAATTGCTGGCCACTGCCACTCCAGGCCAGCCCCCACATCAAGTTCCACAAGACATTGGCCGTCAATCCTGACAGCCTGCCTCCAGATGATGACCCAGAAAAACCTCTGCAGGACCACCTGGAGGCAATCGACACTGCAGACGGCTGCCCAGACCTCAGGGATGACCCACTGCCATCATCAGATGAGGTATTGTTCACGGACGGGAACAACTATGTCCAGGAAGAAATCAGGTATGCTGGGACAGCAACAATAACTCTGGATTGTATCATTAAGTAGGGGAACTTCAGCCCAATGGGCTGAACTCACACCCCTAATCCAGGCTCTCTAATGAGACAAGGGGAAACCATGCTGCAAATAAGGAAGCTCAACCTATGGCCCTAAAACCAGTAGGGACCTCTCCAGATATCAGTCACCATGCCAAACCCAAGTTTGCCTCTGACTCCTACTTACACTGGGTCAAGAATGACTTTACCAAACAGAAACAAGTCATAAAGGAAAACAACGAATGATGGACACTGCCTGATGAGAGGTTATTGGTCTCAGAGGCTCTGGGTCAAACTTTGGTCAACCAGCTGCACCAGACTACCCACTTAGGTTACACCAAGCTTACTGAACTCCTGAGAGGCAAGAAATGTCCAATAAGATCACAGGGAAAAGGAGAAGACGGAAGGAAACAGGAATGTATAAGTCTAAGTAGGGAAGAGAAGAAAAAGAAAAGGCTAGGGGATGTGCAGACAGTAGATAGATTGAGCAAGCTCTCAGGTTCATGTCAGGGGAAGGATTGTGTAAGTCGTAGAGGGTCTATCAGCAAGCTGAAGAAGGATTATGCAGAGGAAATAAAAAGATAAAAGAAAGGGACATACATATTACAGGACATTGGAGGAATACTCAAGAAGGAAAGAAAATAAGACACTGAGAGAGGGAGAACTTGCCTCTGATAATAGAATAATAGTCTAGGATATAATAAAGGGAGTAACAGGTTTAGGCTACTCCTGACCCTTAGATCAGTCAATGACCCCACCTTGATAGCAAAGGTATCACAGGATATCTCTAAGGGATTAAATTTAAATTAGAAGCTCCGTTGTGCTTACTGCCCAGAGTTTCAGGCAGATAAAGCACATAAACAGGACTTTAGAAACCAGTGAAAACTGGACCACTCTGCTCCCCCTCAGCCTCTTACAGTCCTTACAGGCCCTGCAATCTGCCCAGAAGGACATCCATAAACACATCTGCGATGCCCTGCCTGTGCCCACCTCAAACCCTGTGCACCCTTTCCAGCTCAGGGACTCATGTAGGTAAAGAAATTTACCACCCAGGGACTAACTCCAGCCTGGAAGGGATCATACGCTGTCATCCTGCCTGCACCCACAGCTATCAAGGTCAACGGCACCCTGGTCTAGCTGCATCATTCCTGGTTGAAGGCGGAAAAAGCAGAATAGATGGCGCAGACCTCTCCAGATCCCTTAAAAATGAGACTCTTACGTTTATCGGGACTCTAGTTTTTCTGATTATAACTGTACAGGGAAATCTTTATAAATCTAGACCCCAGTAGAACTGGGAACTTAGAAATAGAATATCAGAAAAAATCTTAAGAAATGTCAACCACAAGGGGGTCTATGTGCTGCCTTAGGTGAAACCTGCTGTTTCTATGCCAACCATTCAGGTATAATCGGACAGAGCATCCAAATTCTCAGGCAAAGACTTAAACAAAGAGAAGAACAGGCCTTCCATAATTGGTATGAAAACTTATTTAATTGGTCACCATGGCTAACATCCCTAATTTCATCTATAGCAGGGCCACTACTACTATTATTAATCGGAATGACTTGTGGACCCATCTTAATAGACTTTTAGCCTTCATAAAAGAAAGGGTCCAATCAGTCAAATTAATGGTCCTGGCACAATCCTACCAGAAATTGTCTCCCCATGACCATTGTGAATCAATGGATTGTGATCCACTCACAAGAAAAGGGGGGAATGTTATAGCTCACTATCCTTGGAATTCAGTAAAGAAAAACAACTTGTCTTTAAGCTGCCCTAATTGACAGCCTCAGGGACGGCAAGGTAAACAACGGGGAATGTTATAGATGACTTTTAGTCCCATAAAAATTAACTGGAATTTGACTTTCACTGGGAATTTGAAAAGCAACATTCTCCAGAAAAAGGGAGGACAGAAACAGAAACGGCTCCAAGGCCAGAGGGTCATGCATGCTCTGTAAATAAATGACAGGGAGAAACTGAAGCTCCCTTTTACCCCACAAAACTGTAACTGTTAAAAATATATGTATTGCACCAGGCTGACTGCTGCTATCCATCTCTGTTCCCTCCTGCCTATCGCTAACTGTCTCCGCTTCTGTACATGCAGTTTGCTTCCTTGCTTGCTCTGCTAAACTCTTGAATGGCCCCTGCCCTATATAAGCAACCCTCCCCCTGAGCTCGGGGCTGAAGTTCTTCTTGCTGTAGGTTGGCTGCAGTCCCTGTGCAGGTAATAAAGCTCGCCTTTAATTCACCCAACTTTGTGTCCGAGTGAGGTTGACTCTAATAGGTTACAACACTGAGCTGTGAATCTCAGAGCTGTTCCTGGGAGCCCAGGCAGATGTTCAACCTCCCATGGTTCTTGGAGTGGAGATGGTGGTGTGAGGGCCAGAACGTCTAGCTTCAATAGAGGACTAAAGTTTACAGAGAGGGGGCAATCTGTAATGCAGCTTTTTCTTTTGGTAATGACGACCCAGAGCAATTATAAGCCCTCAGAAGAACCACCTGGATGACTCATTAGGAGTTGACTTACTTCTTTTTTTGTTTTTATTCTCACCTGAGGACATTTTGGCATTTATCTTCAAATAGAGTGGGGCGGGAGGTGTGGGGGGAGATACATCGACATGAGAGAGACACATTGGCTGGTTGCCACCCACTCGATCCCAACTGGGGCCAGGGATAAACTGCAACCCAGGTATGTGCCCTTAGTGGGAACTGAACCCAGGACTCTCTGGTCTACAGGCCGACGCTCTAACTGCTGAGACTAACTGGCCAGGGCAGGAGTTGACTTACTTCTTAGGCAATGATAGGAAATACAGAAAAAGATGTCTATTTCTGTTAAGGAAAATAGACAATCAATGGTGATATTGTGTACATTTTCAGGGTTTACAACTGAGGACTCTTATTGAACAATGAAGTTTCCATAAAATTAGGTTAAAGTTTTCTCACTCTTTGCAATTAATATAGGTAATACCTGTTTTCCTGAGGTTACTTTTTTTTAATCCTTACCTGAGAATACTGTTCCATTGATTTATATATAGAGTAGGAGGGAGGGAGGGAGAGAGAAGGAAAAAAAAAAAAACAGCGATGTGAGAGACACATGGATTGTTTGCCTCCCACACAGCCAGGATGGAACTGCAACTGAGGGACATTCCCTTGACCAGAAGTGACCCCGAGACTCTTTGGTCTGCAAGCCAATGTCCTAACTGCAGAGCCAAGTGGCCTGGGCTGACGTTAGTTTATTTTCAATGGCACATCTAGTGATCAACTGTACTTGAATTAAAATATTATCCAGTGTTCACATTTATTTAACAAATATTTCGTGATGACTCACGATCAAGGTCCTGGGTCATTTTTCAACATTGGAGGTATCATCATGGAAAAATAATATGGACTCGCTCCTCAAGGAAAAACCACTAGGGGCATCTGTTTGATTGGAGTCCTGGAGGAGAGAAGAGAGGGAATCAAGGAGAGGCAATTTTCAAGAGGCAATGGCTTAAATTTTTATAGAACTGAAGCATGATACCAGTCCAAAGATAAAAGATGCTCAGTGAATTCCAAGAAGAATTTGAAAAAAAATAAATCTATATACAAATGCATTATAGCCCTGGCCGGTTTGGCTCAGCGGTTAGAGCGTCGGCCTGCGGTCCCGAGAAAATCGGGTTAGGTTCCCGCTAAGGGCGCGTACCTCGGTTGCAGTTTGTCTCCGGCCCTGGTCGGTTGTGCGGGTGGCAACCACTCGATGTGTCCCTTTCACATCGATGTTTCTCTCTCTCACTCTGTTTCTCTCTCTCCCTCACACTCTACCTGAACAAAAAGTGGAAAAATGTCCTCGGGTGAGGATAAAAAACAAACAAACAAACAAAAAAAACCCCAAATGCATTATAATTAAATTGCAAAATGAAAATAAATAAATAAATAAAGACAACGTAAAAATATTAAAAGCAGCAGGCAGTGAGGAAGTGGGGATGGATATTATCTTGGAAGGAACAGCAGCAATTAGAGAGTCAGAAACATAAAAATATAAAGGAGAGTATAATGATATCTTTAAAAAGAAAATTGCCAAATTAGAATTCTCAAACCAACTTTTATAAACAGTGTAAACTCAAGGGATTTTCAGACAACTGAAAACAAAGTTTACAACAGAAGAGACTCTCTCAATGAAATTTTAAAGGAAATACTTGGGCAGAAAGTAAATGATTACCAATGGAAGATTTGAGATGTAAGAAGGAATGAAAAACAAAGACAGTGGCAAATAGTGGTAAATAGTTGAGCAAGTGTAAATGGACATTGATTACATAAAATAGTAGTGTCTCGTGGGCCTTAAAATAAACATGGCATTAAAATACCATATAGAAATAATATATATCAGGAGCGAGTAATGGAATATCCCATTATTATCTTAGAGGTTTTATTAAATGTGGACTTTATAAACATGCATGCTTTAATTTGTAATTCAAGTCCTTAAAAGAACAGAAACACACCATAACTCATCCAAACTGGAAGCGAGGAACGTTTATTCATTCAGTGGGCACAGAGGAAACAATCTCTAAAACAGGAGTAGCTCTCTGACAGGAATGGAATAGAAGAGCATGAGTGACCTGAGAACAAGGCAAAAAGAACAGTGTATTCCGTCACCCAGAAAGGGTAGGTGTAGTCCAAGAAGAAACCAAAGGACTTCTCTATGACCAGAGGGCAAAGCATGGTTGAGTAGGTGGTGAGAGAAAAAGCCAGACAGTAAGGAGGAGAGGCATTGTGAATGGCCTTGTAAGCAAGAGATTTGAACTTGATCAACAATAAATTCATCTTAAAATTCTGTACAACTCTTGATATAGATCTAGAATTCATTTTAAGTTTCTTAGACTTGACATTAAGAACAATAAAAATCAATTGAAAGAAACAATAACCAGAATTGCCTTTCAGAATGATGGCTTGGCTACAAGGTTGAAAGAGACAAAGAAGATACTCTCTCTCTCTCTCTTTTTTAATCCTTACCCAAGGATATATTTTTATTGATTGATTGATGGAGACAGAAAGAGAGAGAGGTGAGAGAAACATTGATCAAGCTTGAAACCTAGGTAAGTGCGCTGATCAGTCATCGAACCCAAAAACTTTTAGTGCAGGAGACGATGCTCCAGCCAACTGAGCCACCTGGTCAGGGCAAAGATAGTCTCATTTTAATAGTTCTAAAATTTGTTTGAGATTTCATAGACTACAAATCTCTCCAAAAGAGTGTATCTCTCTTGCCTGCATGAGGGTTCAGGTTTGGTGTGGTATGGCCAGAGGGATAGATTGATTTCATGTGACTTTTTAAAAAAATCTAGATTCACTGAAGGAATTTCCAGGGAATTATGCTGAGTGGAAAAAGCCAATCCCAATGGTTACATACTGGACGACCCCATTTCTGGAAAATTCTCAATATAGACCTAGAGAACAGAAAAGGAATTGCCAGGGAGGAGGGACTTGGGTGTGGTTATAAAAGGGCAGCAGGAGGGATCCTGCGGTCTAGAAGTGTTCTGTATCTTGACCGTATGAATGTCAATATCCTGGTTGTGATGTTACATGCGTTTTGTATGATATTACTGTTGTGGCACAAGAGACCCAAGAGACAACCAGAGCCAAATTAAAGCCAGAGAGCAAAGCCGGCTGGAGACTGATCCCCAATTCTCAGAGATCAGCCCCCACTTTCAGCTGATTTTTTATTTTATAGGGGGTTTGTTGCAAACTTCTGCAGCTGGCATTTCTTGTTGGCCTTGGGGAAGAGCAAGCAAGCAAGTACAGAAGCGGAGGCAGTTAGTGATAAGCAGGAGGGAACAGAGGTGGGAGGGAGCTGAGGTGAAAGGGAACTGGGTGAACTGGGTCAGCACACATCTATCCTGCTATTCATGCTATTATCTAAGTTTTAAAAACTAACAAATTCGCTTAGAGGACACATTCATTTCGAGGAGTATCAGGCCAGCTGGTACTTCCTCAGGTTGCCTTTGAAAGCTTCATAGCTGGCCTTTTGTTTATTTAATCAGGACAAAGTGATAGGAGCAGGCCACTATAGTTACCATAAGGGGAAACTGAGTATTTCTGTGTCATTTCTTTTAATCACATGTGAGTATGCAATGATCTCAAAATAAAAAGTTTAATTAGCAACAAATCTAGCTTGCTCTCTTATTTGGAAACTTTGGGGAAGTAACAATGATTCTCATTCCTACTGGGTTTTGCCTGAAGTTGGAAGTCTTACATGATGAGTCAACATCCAAATCCAACCACGAGAAGACATCGGCAATGACAGTCCCGGTCCTTCCAGTTGATATTCCCATGTGGAACCCCCTCCACCAGGTGGACAGGCAGGTGAGAAAGCCCACCCCCCAAACCTGGCAATGGCTCCATCTTGAGAGTTCCACTAGTACACTATATTAACTAAAATTTGTGTAAATTAATAATCAAGAATCTAAATTACTTTAGTACCAGTTCTTCTGTAAGGGAACTCTAGAAGTCATATACCAAGGAGTAAAGCACAGCACAGCTCGTACTGAACCTTTAACATCATTTGTTGAAGCTGTTTTTGTCCCAAATTTATTATTATGTGAATTCAAACTTAAAACCCTATCTCCAAAACAAATTTTATATTATTTGTACTTTGTTACAAAGGACTCATAAATTCTGAAAACTAACTACCTCTTATATGTATTTCTTATGATCTTATTTAATGAGACTTTTTTTTTAATTCTCACCCAAAGACATTTTTTAATTTATCTTCAGATAGAGTGGGAGGGAGACAGGGAAGAAGTAACAGAGAGAAGCATCCACATGATGGAGACACATTGAGAGGCTGCCACCCACACTACCCCACCAGGGCTGTGAAGAAACTGCAACCAAGTTATGTGCTTGTAGCTGGAGCCGAACCTGGGACACTCTGGGCTGCGTGCTGATGCTCAAACCACTGAGCCATACTGGCCAGGGCCTAAGATTCTTTTTTTTAAAAAAACTGTTATTATTGATTTTAGAGAGAGAGGAAGGGAGAGGTAGAAAGAGATAGAAACATCAATGAAACATCTATTGGCCACCTCCTGCACGTGGCCTACTGGGGATGTAGCCCACAATCCCCGGCATGTGCCCTGATTGGGAATCATACTGGTGATATCTTGGTTCATGGACAATGATCAATCCATTAAGCCACACTGGCCAAGCTATTTACTATGACGCCTTATATACAATTTAAAAAATATTAAAAAAACACAAACCCAGATTATGTGATCATAAACATATCAATGCTTTAAAAGTTTACATTTTAACTTATGATGCTGGGTTAAGCAGGCTAAGCAGTAAGGAGGAGACATCGGTTTCATCAATCCAGTAGGAGAGTTTATTGTGAAGATCCACGGGAAATAAAGAAATCAGGATGTCTACAGAATAGCTAGGATCCCAAGAGACAGACAGTGTGGGAATTGCAGGAGACGGCAGGGTCCACATGGCTCAGAGACATGGTGCCTCTTCATTCTCCTCAACGGCATCAGTGGACCCCATTGGTAGGCTTCTTTGTTCCGACTCAGCTCATTTTCCCTGTGTCTGCCTGTTTCCCTTTTAGCTCCTGTGTGTCTCCAGCTGTTCTGCTTCCTGCCCATGTCAACGCCATATGGTCACAGAGCAAGGCTGAGGGAGCCTAAGGGACGTGGCATCTGTACTTGGCCACTCTATACTGCCCCTGCACCAACGTCAGTCACTGCCTGGGCAGCAGCAGGGCTGCCCGGAGCCCACGGGCAACCAGTGCAGGAGAAATCCCTCAGAAGATGACCAGGACTTCCAGGCACCCTGGGACTTAACAGAACAGCTGCAATGGTTGTTTAGAACTATCTTGTTTTAACAGAGCAGTAGGTTACATTTTCTTATTCAATGGGATGAGCTTATATTTCAAAAGATTAGATCAAGCTTGGAGCCCCAGTGTGCAGATGAAACTAATTTAATTTAATTTCAATCATGCCCCTGTGTGCCATTTTCATTGTTAAAATAATTGAAGGTAAAATGTGGATCATTTACCAAGCAGGAATTTTGTTGACAAATTTCCCACAGATGAGACTCACATGAGATTCTATTACAAAGGACCCTGCCAGAAGCATGCCTGCCCTGTTGCCTTTGTCCCCAGATACATAAAGTGCCCCACAGAGAAATACATTTATATATAACAAATCACCGTAATGTAGCAAATGTATAACTTTCCAATTTCTGAATGAAACTAAAGAGCTATTTCTAAGGATGGGGGCAGAATAAGTATCATATCATCACTTTGACTTGTTTTAAAACCGAAAGGAAGGCTACCTAAAGTCCGGCGAGCGTCGATATCTCTAGACACTTGGTTATGTAGTTCTTGATGAAGGTCTCATTGGCAGCTTCCGTGAGATAAAAGTGATTTCCTGGAAGCACATGCATATGA